TCTCATTACAGCCTTTGTTTTAAAGCCCAGTTGGTCCGATATACTGCTACTCCAGTTTTCTTTTGACATGCTCTTGAATGTTTCTCCATCCCCTCACTTTCAATCTGCAAGTGTCCTTAGTTCTGAAAGAGTCTTTTGAGGCACCTGGCTGTCTCGGTGGAGCATGGGACTCTTAATCTAGGGGTAATAAGTTCAACCCCAATGTTGGATGTAGAGATTACTTCAAAGTAAAATCTTAAAATTTTTTTGAGTTTCTTGTAAGGAATATGTAGATGGGTCTTGCTTTTTTGTTGTTTTTTAATCCACTCTGTCACCCTATGTCTTCTTTTAGAGCATTTAGTCCATTTACATTCAAAGTAATTATTGACAACCATTTCTTTTCATTTTAAGTCTTATGGTTTGTGGGGGACTTTCTCTCATCCTTTTTCTTTCATGGTTTGCGGTTTTTTGTTTTTAATGTATGTATTTGTTTCAAAGGTATAGGTCTGTGATTCATCAGTTGTAAACAATACACAGTGCTCACCACAACACATGTTCTTCCCAGTGTCAATCACCCAGCCCTCCCCACTCCAACAACTGTTTATTTCCAGAGTTCAGAGTCTCTTATGGTTTGTCTGTTTTCTTGTTTCATTTTTCCCACTCTTCCCCATGATCCTCTGCCTTGTTTCTCAAATCCCACGTATCAGTGAGATCATATGATAATTGTCTTTCTTTGACTTATTTCACTTAGCATAGTACCCTCTTGGTTCCATCCACATCACTGGAAATGGTAGGATTTCATTTTGATGGCTACATAATATTCCATTTTGTGTGTATACACACACACACACACACACACACACACACATATATATATATACACACACCACCTCTTTTTTATCCATTCATCTGTTGATGGACATCTGGGCTCTTTCCACAGTTTGGCTACTGTGGACATTGCTTCTATAAACATTGGGAGTGAAGGCACTCTTTTGGATCATTACATTTTTACTTTTGGGATAAATACTGTTGTGCAATTGCTGGGCCATAGGGTAGCTCTATTTTCAACTTTTTGAGGAACCTCCATGCTGTTTTCCAGAGTGGTTATACCAGCTTGAATTCCCACCAACAGTGTAGGAGGGTTCCCCTTTCTCTACATCCTCTCCAACTCCTGTTGTTCACTGACTGGCTAATTTTAGCTATTCTGACTGGTGTGACGTGGAATGTTACCGTGGTTTTGATTTGTATTTCCTTGATGCCGAGTGAGGAAGAGCACTTTTTCATTTCATGAGTCTGTTGGCCATTTGGATGTCTTCTTTGCAGAAATGTCTATTCATGTCTTCTGACCATTTCTTGATCGGATTACTTGTTCTTTGGGTGTTGAGTTTGGTTAAGTTCTTTATGGACTTTGGATACTAACCCTTTATCTGTCATTTGGTTTGCTGGTTTTCTTGAGCAATTTGAATTTCTCATTCTTTGTGTATTTCTATTTTGATTTGTGGATACCATTAGGTTTGCATATAACTTCTACATATAGCAGTCTGTATTAGGTTGATGGTTGCTTAAGTCTGAACCCACTCTTGACTCCTATCCTCCCTACATTTTAGGTATATGTTGTCATATTTTGCATCTTTTTTTGAGTTCCTTGAAGGATTTTTTTTTTTAATAAAGTTATTTTTACTGCATTTGCTTCCTACCTCCATTCTGTCACCTTTTGTCTCTTCTACTTCTCCTTTAATATTTCTTGCAGGGATGGTTGAGTGGTCACGATTAATTTTTGTTTGGGAAACTCTTTTCTCTTACTTTGAATGTTAGCTTTGCTGGGTAGAGTATTGATGGCTGCAAATTTTTCCCTCAGCACTTTGAATAGATCATGCCATAGTCCCTTCTGGTTTGCAGGGGTTCTGATGAAAAATCTGCCGATAGCCTTATGGGTTTTCTCTGATAAGTAATGGTTTTATATTGTGTTAATGCGTTTAAGATGTTCTTATGACTGTATTTTGTAAAATTTAATTGTCTTGGTGTTGGCCTGCTTTTGTGGTTTTGTTTTTGTTTTGTTTGGCTGTTCTGTCTCCTACACCTGGATGTCTTATTTCCTTCCCCAGAGTAGGAAAGTTTTCAGCTACTGCTTCAAGTAAATTTTGTCCCCATTTTTCTTTCTTATTCTGGGACTCCTATGAATGTTATTACATTGATGGAGTCGATGAGTTCCCTAATCTGTTCTCATTTTGTATGATTCTTTTTTCCTTTTGTTCAGCTTCTTTACTATACTTGAAGTCATTAATTTGTTGTTCTTCTTCCAGACTGCTGTTCATTGCATCATGAATGCTTCTAATTCTAATCTCCTTTATTGCATTTTTTTAAAAACTCCTATCTCCATGGTAAGGGTCTCACTGATGTCTTCCATTCTTTTCTCAAGCCCCATGAGTATCCTTATGATCATTGCTTTAAATTCTCCATTGGGCATATTACTTCCATTTCACTTAGATCTCTGGTCATGGCCTTATATTGTTCTTTTATTTGGGATAAATTCATCTGCCTTCTCATGTTGTCTAAGTCTCTGCCTGCTCCTGTGGCCAGTTAGGTCTCCTGCTTCCCAAAGAAATGGTTTGAACGAAGGACCAGGACCAGGGCAGGGTCCTTCACGGAGTGTCTCCGAGTGTGCTGCATGTTTTCTGCTGTTGTATTTCAGCTCCTCTATCCTTTCAGCCCTTCATCTGCAGAACCTCTCCTTCCCTGCCATGGGCAGTGTTTGGTGCCTGGCCTGAATGTCTGAGCTGGCGAATTTTAGTTGGGTGGGCTTTGATATGCTTGAGATGAAACTTTCAATGAGGCTCTGGTTGGGAGACGTGGTATGGACAGGGGGGTTGTGCTGGCTTTCTGGATGAGGGGGCTTGCCACACTTGGATCTAAAGCAGGCTTGACTGAGAAGGGCAGTTCTACTGAGGCACAGAGGTATGGGGCTTACTGTAAGCAAGTTAGGCAGCCAGTTCCTGCAGGTGGCTCTGTGTTCATGCCGAGGGACGTGGGAGGGCAAGGGCAGGCAAGAGCAGGGAAGGGCAGGGCCAGCTTCTTTGTTCTTGGAGAGGTATCTACAGTGAATACTGCCTTTGGTCACACTCGGAGAAGATAAAATAACCCCCCCACCCCCGTTTCCGCTAGCACTCCTCAGATCGTGGTATTTGTCCCCAGCTTGTTTGCTTGCCTTCTTTCCAACAGCAGCTGCACCTCCAGACTGGACTTTGCAGGAGCCCAGCCTGCTAACAGAACTTCTGGCTTTAAGTCTCACTGGTTGCAAACTCAAATTCAGCTCCTCTCACTTTCCAAACCAATGACTATGAGGAAACCTTGTCCTTTAGCATTCCCCTATTTGCTCCTCTTTCTCTCTCGCTCCCTCTCAACCTTCTCCATAACCAGGGTTCCCTCCTCTCTGCAGCAGCCAGGACCCATTTCTCCACAAACTCCATCTCTATGCTTTGGTTTTATTTGTCGAGTCTGTTCTGCCAGTCTTGCGGCTGATTTGGGGGGATTAAGGATGAATGGATAGTTGGATTTGTGGGGTGAGGGAAGCCAAGGTGCTCTGCAGCTGCCTTCCCCTCTGTACCAGGAGTACCACTTTAGATAACTAAGCTGTGACCCCACCTTCATGCTCCTTGCTCCAGAAGATACCGGGATTAAGGTCCGGAGAGCTGCAGAAAACACAGCCTAGAAAACAGAGGCAGAAGACAGCTGCACAATGCCCTGATCACCTTCGGTCTTAAGATCCTTCTCAGAATGTACCTGGCTCCTTGCTTAGCAGGAGCCTGCTTCTCTCCCTCTGTCCCTCCTCTGCTTGTGCATGCTTTCCTTCTGACAAAACCTTAAACAATAAAGTCCTTCTCAGTATGGAAGATACTCTTCCACCTTCTTACAGATAATGAGATTTTAAGGTTACTCTAATTCAGAGTAGCTGCCCTGGCTTAAGGGTGATGATAAAAAATGCAGATTGCTTATCCCAAAATCCTAATACTAAATGTACCTAAGCAACAGAATTGTTCTAAAAGGGTTTTTAAAATGAGATTTTTAAAGAGCCAGGCAGCTGAAGTGCTCCAACAGGGTAGCCCAGTCCCAGATGATGATGTCCTTCACTGGCTATTGCTGACCTGCTGATGGTCATGTAGCCGGTGCTGCCCTACAAATTAGAACTGCATTAACAGCTAATAAACACTTATGCAATTAGGCAGAGAGGTAGTAAGCGTCACTTAAACAAGGTGAAGACATTTTCCAACGTTTTGGAGTTTTTGGTCTCCTTTTATCTGCCAACTTAACCTGTTTGGTCTTACTCCACACTCCAAGGTACTAAATCCAAAGGAGTTAAAAAAAAAAAAAAAAATTCCTCAGAAACCAAGAGTAAAAGAAAATGGGCCACTGAGGGCAATGGTTCTCAGCCTGAACTCTGCATAAACTGGAGTGTGTGGAACTAAATATGGCAGCAAACCTTCCGTTAATGATACGCAGCTTAGTAAATTTGCTGAGTGTCCCTTTTAGATGTAAATTTGCGACTTGTAATTAATTTCTCTTTGCCTCTGTGGCCCATGTACCTCAGTCATATTAAAGTTGTCACACTAGGGGTCCAAAGACAATTCTTAGAAGGTGATGTTAAACAGACACTAACGTTGCTGAAGTATTTTTGTTCCGAGATTTTCTAGAATCACAAGGGATACCTCCCAACTACTATTTAAAATCACTAGTAGGTACACGGTTCTTCAGTGGAGAAACTGTTCTCGTTACATTGATTACACCACGTTTTTATTTTAGTTTGCTGAATGAAAAACAAACACAGAAGAACCCAATTTCTTTTGTAGGTCTGGTCCTTCTCCATAGCAGTTGTTAGACAACCCTGGAGCAGCTGGAATACAGTCACCACGGGGCCCAGTTGGAGCAACAGCTCATCTTGGAAGTTATGTGTTTATTTCCTTGGTGCCTTGCACGGTAAGGCACGAATAACGATAAAACAGAATGGAAGAAATGCCCACAGCAAATAGTTCTAGTGACAATTTACTAGACAAGTTACAGTTTAATGATGGTGGTGGTGATTGTTTCATTTTATTAATTTTTACAATAAGGATGTAGCCTTTATACTCCACACACACAAAATAAAACAAGTGCTTATGAAAGAGTCCCTGCCCCCACCCCCCTTTCCAAAACATCCTGAACATAGCAATTCAATAGAACAGAAAAATCAAGACATGTTTGATTTCAAAATTTCAATAAAAAAAGCAAAGTAGGTAATGCAACAGCTGTTCAACTTCCAACTCTAAATAGGCACCGTAAAACAAAAGAAAAACTCTCAGTATTTAAATTTCTCCATCACACTTTCCAGTATAAATGCTCTGTAATCAGCTAGTAATAAATGGGAACAGAACCTTAGAACAGAAGTTATATTGCTTCCCTGCTCCCCCTTTCTCTGATAATTAGAGGGTGGAGGTATTAGGGGATACAAAAGTCAGAGGAAGAAGAATTAAAAAGAAAAATTCTGAAAGCTGCTGTTGGTGGACTAGAAAGGAAGACAGCATTTTACAAATGTTCAAAAAATCCCAAGGCAAGCAACACAATTCGTTCACTATCACTCCTACTAGAAAGAATAAAGATATCAGCATCTTATTATATAAAACTGTACTTTCAGAATCGCATTACAGGTTCACCAGAAACTATGGATGTAGTTTTAGGCTTCATCGGGGAAACAAGTTCAGTTCAGATCAAGTTAGATACTGCGCATCTAGCCTATTTGGATCGGAGTCTGGAACTGCTCACTGTTACCCCCAACAGCTGTAAACTAAACAATAGTATGTAACTCCATAGGAAGCTTAAGGATTGAGGATATGTACACAGCTAATTATATCTCCCCTGCTTCGCGCTCTTCAGAGCTCCTCCTGTCTTCTGATCTGCCATTAGCGCTCTCATAGGACCGCTTCTTATCTTTTCGATCTCTGTCACGAGGTGATCTGTCTCTTGAATTCCTGTCTCTGTCACGTGATGCTAAGTCTTGGTCTCTGAATCTTTCTTTTGAGGATCTGAAAAATATTAATTTGAGGAGCAAAATGTGTTGGGAAACCCAATATCCAAATGAAAGAATAGGATAAATATTAAGGTACGGACAGCTGAAGTTATACAGAATACATCCAAGAAAGACAGAGGAGCCAGTTTTCTGACCAAAAAGAGCATTACCCAATCTGACAAGGGAGATGGGTGAAAACAAATTAAGGGTCAGAAACCATAAGGTAAAATAATGACTTAATGGAGTATGTTCTCATTATCTCAGAGGTAATCATAAAGGTTTTCCAATTCATGGCAAATGTGTTTAATATTAAAAAAATAGTATATAGACAATACCTTTAAAAAAGGGGAAGTGTTAACCAATTAAAAAAAAAAAAGTACAGGTGCCCAACTTGGTGGAAATTAAGGACTTAGAATGGGGGTCAGCAAACCTTTTTTTCTTTGCTGTCTGGCCAGAGACTACTTAAGGGGGTATTCTTCTTCCTTTTCTTTTTATCAACCCTTTAACACTGTAGAAACCACCCATAGTTCACTAGCTATTCGAAGAACAGGCTATGGGGCCGGATTTGGCCCTGCAGGCAACAGTTTGCCAACACGACTTAGATACTAGAGAACCAGTCAATGACATGGCTTTAAATAATCATTTATCATTTTTGAATCCTCTTTACTCTTCCTGAGGGAGCTCATTCAACTAACAGAGAAAAATAAGAATGGAAGACACAGAAAGATGATCATCACCCTGTATCTTGATTAACCATAACCGTTTCTGGATACTATCTCTCCATTCCCATACCCAGTTTCGTTAAGAAAGGTAAGTGATAACAGGCTCACAGCAGAGATTCAGTAAGAAGGAAGATCAAAGGCTATTATGGGATCAGAATATAAAATCTATACTTTTAACATCTAGAATGAATCAGTAATATATATTACATTTATTTGGTTCTTTACAAGTGACATGGTACTTTTTATATAATCTCACTTAACCAGGCCTCAGATCCTAATTCTGAACATGGGTCAAGTAATACTTTGAACTTCTAAGGCAGGAAAAAAATATGATACTCAGTTTTAGAAATAATGTTAAGGAGGATTCAAGCAGAAAGGTTCAAAAGTTAGTATCAGCTTTGAGCATGTTCTACTGATTTTAAAAAGATGTGAGAAAGAAAAAAATCACAGTGTAATCCTCTCCACAATCTTTTTAAGAATAGACTGTGGAGAGAGATGATGCCTAAGAATTAAGGACACAGTTGCAGGTAAGTCTCAGAGGTCAGTACTAACTGGAAGATAACCATGAGATGAGCATCAACTACGATTTTGTGAGGGATTACAATATCCCATCCAATCAGTTTACTTACACTATGTCATTCAAACTACCACTAATCCTAACAGAGGTACTTCGAAGATGGGGGGCAAGACAGGATAATGAGATTACTTGGCCAAGGCCACTGAACCCAAGCAGTCCGACTCTCAAGACTGCACTAGGTGTTTCAACAGACCAGGAAGTAGAAAAATGCAAGTTAAGTCCTCATTTATTAAGTTAACTGTTGCCAGGGAAATGTCACCAACAGAATCATATCAGACCAGTATTTCACAATTGGGGAAAAAGAAAATCATGAGACTTGTGACTAGGATCTTTACCTTGAAATTTTAACTGAAATATATAGCAATTGCCTACTTATTTTTGGTAAAAACACAGAAGGCTGCTTTGAAAGAGAATAAGTTGTCGAGATTATAAGTGCTCTTGAGAAAAGCAAAAACTTTTAATAGTTTTACAAAAATAAACCTGCTTATAAACATGCTGAAAATATTAAGTGTGTCATGTAGGACAGCAGAAATATCTCCTCTACAACTTCATAAATGCAGGAACCATTAGGGACTAGGATAACATAACCCTGGTGAGGCGACATGCCCCTTCCTTCCACCCCCACCACCATTTAATAAAGACATTTGAGAGTTCACAGATACCAGAAACAATGACCTGTGGGCAGGTTCACAAACAAACTCTCCAAACTTTCCATCCATCAGTAGTGTGACTCTCAAAATACACAGTGCAGGTAAATCTCAGAGGGAATTTGTTCATTCTCTACATTGGTCTGTGATAGTTACTCCATCTCGAATTATCTTTTTACTACCTGGTTTTACCTACTTTCTGAAGCCTTTTTTAATTTCTCTGGTATTTCCTTCATCTAAACTTCTATACTACTCTGGATGTGCACTGTAGCACTTTAAGTATTAGACCAGTCTGTTTATTATAGAAGATGTTAGTCTTATGTTCTAACATGAATAAAGTTGCTCAACTACAACAAAGTTGCTCAACTACAATATACTTTTTGGTTATTTTTTACTAGGCCTAGTAATGAAGCAAGTATACAATTCTTACTAGAGTTACTTGAACTAGTTCGCTAATAAGAGAACATAAATGTTTTCTGGGGCGGGGAGCTGGGGGGGGGGGGGGGGGATGATAAACACCTGAAGTTCATTAACCACTGGCAGGAACCTTTTCATAACGTACGTGTGTGTGTGTGTGTGTGTGTGTGTGTGTGTGTGTACATATATATATATATATATATAAATCTATATATATATATAGATATCAAGTCACCACAAAGTACACCTTAAATATCTTAAAATGTTGTCAATTATACCTCAGTAAAGCTGGAGGAGGGAAAAGGATCTACTTGGAACAAGGCAAGAATATAAAGAAAATACTCAGTGAAACCCTATTCACCAACTCTGTGTGTGAGTGGTTCCAAGGAAAGGCTTCCCTCCTCTCCCCCACCCCCGCCAAAAGATTTTTATCCGCTTTCTGTGAATTCTATCATGGGCTTTATGGAGAGTAATCGTTAGAAAATTTAAGACTAGTAGGTGCTAGGCACTCAAAAAAGATTACACATATGCTTAAGAAGAGTTGTAATGAAAAAAGCAATTGTAAGCATGGTTTATAGGTTTCATAGAAATGAACTGGCTTAAGGACCATCTTGTGACCTGAGAAGTTTTGGGAGCTTGGTCAATGTAGATTTGAGTGCTAAGGCTCTATCACACATTCTAATCCTTTGTCCTGAAAAAATATTCAGGTCCTGCAACGTACCACACCCTAGATCTGCTCTCCTTACATCTTTCAAATTTTCATGCTGAGGAAGTCCAACCTCAAGATTCTGAATCCGCCCCACCAAGCTAACTGTATATAGCAATGTATACCTATAGTGCAGTTAAAACAATATACCAGAAGGTGTCTGCTCTGAAAAAGTGCACCAGCTCAAAGAAGTTTGGAAAACAGTAAGTCAAGCAAAGCTAAACTCTTTAAATGAAAGGGCTTCTCAGAACCCCTAATCCGCCAATACATACTGAAAAAATGGAGTATTGGTACCTAAAATTGCCCACAAAGTACTTTTTTTTCCAAAATACACTAAGCAGAGAAAAAGCAATAACCTCTGCAGCACATATTGGTTCCAATTTCTTACTCTGGCTCCTAAGTGTATTCTTTAACTACCCATATCATCAGGGGAAAAATGTTATACACTCACACACAAATGTGTACATGTGACCAGATGCAAGTGTCAAACCAGCAGTATTCCAACTCTAAACCATAAGGTAGTTCCATATCCTCTTATGGACACCTCAGTACCTCCTCCTGGATCGCTCTCTGCTCCTGTCTCTAGAACTGTGCCCACTGCGCTGGTGGCTGCGGCTGCGGCTGCGGCTGCTGGAGCGGGATCGGTGGCGATGGCGTTTCTCCCGAGATTTGGATCGAGTTCTCCTCTTCCGTTCCCGTGACATGGAGCGAGACCGATGTCTGCGATGCTCTCTGGACCTGGACCTACAACAAAACCTTTGCTTTAGTTTTTAGCTTTCTCAGCAATGCACCTCCTTTACTAAAGCCTTCTCTTTTACGGTATCTGAATAACATGACTTAATGCCAGTTCCATCCAGTCAGCTCAATCTACACCAAAATAAAATGCTGGCGTATCAGCTATATACTGAAATTCCAAAATCAGTGTTGTACAGATTTACATCAAGAATATTATAAAAATTACGACAACAATCCATACCACTACTCCATGCTTTGTTTGCTCCAGATGTTTTATGGATTTGTATTTCATTTAAACTTCTAATATTTCTGGGATACTTCAGAAACAAAGTAGGTACCTGATGGACATGGATAAAATTCAGGCAGAAGGAAGAGTATTGTTTATGATAAGTCACTAACAATTAAAAAGGTGACAGGACCACCAAAGTAAGTCTGAATACCCACAATATGCTTAGTCATGATCAACACAGAGTTCTCTATTAAAGCAGTACCCAATGTGGGAGAAAAAACTAACATAAGTCAGTTTAGAGAACTTTATTGGAGTTGAAAAAAGTATGAATACAGAAAAGGAAAAACGTTTCGAAGCAGCAGCAAGTGAAAAATACTTGCACTGCCTCCTCTATGTCACAAAACTAGCAATGTGTGTGTGGTCTGAGGGTTGGAATGGCACTTGCAGAGACAGAAAACACTTGAGAGAAAACAAGAAGATAACGCAACTTTGTTCTAAAGGTCATTTTAAGAGTGATGACAAGGAGTTAAACTTGACTTTGACAATTCCGTAACTCTGAATTCACTAAAAATTATTGACTTGTACAGTTTAAATGGGTGAACTTATGGTATGTAAATTATGCCTTAATAAAGCAGTTAAAAAGTTTGAGTCATGTTAAGAATGTGATGTTTTCTCATAATCTGATAAATACAAAAGCATATTCAGGTGATACAATTTACAAACAGCTCATTTTCAAGTGATGGTTTTGTTAAAGGAAGTTTGAAAGCATTCAGCTTATGTCAACATTATATTCAAAGAAAGTGTAATTAGTGGGCCCAGCACCAAGCACAGTTGAGTATTTCAACAACTGAATACAGTATCTCTGAAAACCAACAGAGGGAACAGAACATAAAATTCATTCAAGTTTTATTAAAAGGTATTTTTGTTTAGTCACTCATTTTGAGCAATTATAATCTATGTTTTTCAATGTGTAATTTCATTCCTTTTTTAAAAAATTCGAGACAATTACTCATTTAAAAGTACTTAGGGGCACCTAGGTGACTCAGTTGGTGGCTCAGGTCATGCCCCTCATCAGGCTCCCTACTCAGCAGGGCCATCTGCCTCTCCCTCTCCTCCTCCTCCTGCCCGTGCTCTCTCTGCTCACTCTCCTTTCGAATAAACTTAAGTATTTACTGGGTGCACGCTGCAGTACTCTAGGTACTAGAAAAAGACCGAGCAGCTAATAAAGCAAAATCCTTAACCTCATGAAAGTTACGCTCCAGAAAGAAGTCCACAGATACGCTGGCAGTAAACAAAGATACATCAACTAGTGAAGAAATTATATATTAAGAAGGTAAATATGGACAGAAATGAGGTGGTAATCTTTTATAAAGAATAGGTAGAAAAGGCTTTTCTGGTAAAACGGAATTTAAGCGAAGATGACATAAGGTAGTCAGTTAATGAGCCATCTCAAAATAGGATGCTTCTGGTAGAGGGAGCACAGGTGCAAGGGCCCTGAGATAGAAGAAAGTTCAGAATGTTGAAGGACTAAAAGATAGCTGTTTGGCTGGAATGAAGTGAGCAAGGGGAGTAATTCAGGGGTCTTACAGGCAGGATGACCAAATACCTTAGAATTCAAACCAGGATCCTGTCAATGATAAATTACATGAAGAGCAAGGGGAAGCTATTAATATGCTGACACAAGACATAAATTGGTAACTACCCCAACTCTCAGATCGATCACTCTACTTAAAAGCTATGGGGAGGATTTCCACTTCTAAGTGAAATGGAATACCTCTGGAGAGTCTGAACAGAAGGCTGATGTAATCTGTTTCACTTGTTAAAGGGCTCATTCTGGTGGATGCATAAAAACCAGAGTGAGGTGGAGAAGGGAACTGGGCAAGTACAGAAATTAAGAGACCAGTGAAGAAGCTATTATAATCACCAGGCAAGTGGCTTGGAGCAGAACGGTAGAAATTAGATTTCTGGCCTCAATATCTGAAGATGTTCTATGTACACAGTTTATATAACCAACAAAGGGTCTAATTTGTATTAATCAATGGTAAATAAGAATAGTATCACCAATTAATGTATCCTTTTTTTTTTTTTAAGATTTTATTTATTCATTTGACAGAATGAGACAGCGAGAGAAGGAACCCAAGCAAAGGGAAATGTGAGAGGGAGAAGCAGGCTTTCCACTGAGCAGGGAGCCTGATGTGGGGCTCGATCCCAGGACTCTGGGATCATGACCTGAGCCTAAGGCAGAAGCTTTAACAAATGAACCACCCAGGTGCCCGAATGGTTCTACTTCTCATCCTAGATTTCAGAAATATAAAATGGCTGACACAACTGGGCAGGTTTTTCTTTCATAACAAATGCTCTAGTTTTATAGCGATAAGTTCTCGAGAAATAAATACTCTTTAAAGGTAAGAGTACTTGGGAGGTTTCAAAAAGATGTGATCTGTACAAGAAAAATGGCAGGACTTGACAATAAGGATATTCTAGATGGGGATGGACTCATGGGAACTGCACATGAAATATTAAAAATGATGACGTACACCATGTCTCCCCACCTTTCTCAGAAAAAAATTACCAGCAACTAGTAAAAACTGTAAAGAAAATCTTTAAAAAGCCCTCAAATTTTAATGCCACAAGTCAAAAGAAACTGTTCTATCCTCATCAGGGCTGAAAGTGCCCCTTTCAAGTTGTCATCTATGTAACAAGGGTAAGTAATAAACTCATAGAAAGTGAAGATCAAGATGTAAAACTAATAAACATTTAAGTTTCTCGTAACATTTAAGTTTCTTTCAAAAATGTATTCAACTAGGGCTGCCTGGGGGGGTTCAGTCGTTAAATGTCTGCCTTCAGCTCAGGTTGTGATCCCAGAGTCCCTGGACCAAGCCCCTCATCTGGCTCCCTGCTCAGTGGAGGGCTCTGCTTCTCCCTCTGCCTCTGCCCCATACCCCACCCCCCAATGCCCACTCTAATAAATAAAATCTTTCAAAAAATGTATTCAACTATTTAACCTATTTACATTTTCAATAGATATAACTTCTTAGACCTGCGTTTCTGACATGCACCAACCAAAATGATTTTAAAAATAAATTCTGTATATAGTTAACCTGCGCTTCTAAAGATTTTTTTAAAATATTCTAAAATATTCTTAAGCTTTTTTTTTTTTTTGGTTTAAGTCGGCTCTATACCCAACATTGGTCTTAAATTCACAACCCCTAGATCAAGAAGTTGCATGTTCTACAAACTGAGCCGGCCAGGCACCCCAGTATTTTCAGTTTTACCCTTACCTCCAGAGTACTATATATATCCTTGATAAAATAAAATTATAAGTACCTTTTTTTTTTTTTTATTTGGCAGACAGATCACAAGTAGGCAGAGAGACAGGCAGAGAGAGAGGAGGAAGCAGGCTCCCCGCTGAGCAGAGAGCCCGATGCGGGGCTCAATCCCAGGACCCTGGGATCGTGACCTGAGCCGAAGGCAGAGGCTTAACCCACTGAGCCACCCAGGCGCCCCTCATAAGCACCTTCTAACCAGTTACATCTTAATACACAATGCCCAAACTTGGAACTACAAAAGAATTAAGAGTACTAATCTAGCAATTCTCACTCTTTTTTTTTTTTTAAAGATTTTATTTATTTGACAGACAGAGATCACAAGTAGACAGAGAGGTAGGCAGAGAGAGAGGAGGAAGCAGGCTCTCCGCTGAGCAGAGAGCCCAATGCGGGGCTCGATCCCAGGACCCTGGGATCATGACCTGAGCCGAAGGCAGAGGCTTTAACCCACTGAGCCACCCAGGTGCCCCTCTCACTCATTTTTTAAAAAGACATTTAATCTTATATAAAGATTACCTCTGAAAAACAAACCAACTTCACTACTCCTATGTTTTGTGTATACTTACCTTTTGGGGTTCTTGCTATGTGATCGAGACCTAAAAAAAAGAATATCTATTTTTAGAAAAAAAGAATTAAGTGAGAAAAAGCAAAAGTACTGTTAAAATTACTCTTCCTGATTTCTAATCTTTTTATTAATTCTATAAATATAAGGCACATATAAATGCACACAAATTTTTCCAAAATACACCATAAACTATACAGATTTCCCCACAGACTGGCACAGGAGATCCCCTAAGTAGGACACCTGGCTCTTCAAAATGAATATGCTCCTAGGAGACTAGACCACGGTACATCACCACTCAGTAATTCTCCAGAAATCCCTTCCCAACCTGGGAAAGATGCTTTGTTATTTTTATCTGTTATTTCTTCTTTCCCTCTGGGAAGAGAAAAAAATCTGAGATGTACTTTTTTTTTTTTTTTTTAACACGTATTCACTTTCAAACAGCAACCTCATAGTATAATCCCTAAACACCCAATTCAGTCTTAAAACATCTGTTTCTTAACAAGACACGATTCCCTTATTAAAGCACTCTTCACACTCCTAGCGCACAATTAACACTCAATAAATAGTAATGGCTAACATTATGGGTACTAGAGAGGCAGGCAGACAGAGAGGAAGGGAAGCAGGCTCCCTGCTGAGCGGAGAGCCGCATGCAATGCAGGGCTCAATGCGGGGCTCGATCCCAGAACGCTGGGATCATGACCTGAGCTTAAGGCTTAACCCACGGAGCCACCCACAATCTGTGACCTGGACAGATTATAAATTTTCTCTAAGCTTTTCCTGTCATTTGCCAAAGAAGGACAGTAACAGAAATTTCACAAAGCAATTATAAGGATTAGATGAACTAATGTAGGTAAATTCTTAGCACCATGCCTGATACATAATAGGCACTTAAATAAGCGACAGTGATTTTTATCATTATCTTTTTCAATACCACAGTTGGAATCCCACCTTGCTTAACTCTGTACTTGCTTGTAATTTCTTCATCTTTCATTCTTGGTTATATTATTTCCTCAAGTTCACAGGTTTAAAAATAATTTTAAGCACATTTCTGAAATAACACTGCATTTATAACCAATGTTAAAAGAAATCTGTGAGTTGACAGCAAAGGAGTAAGAGTGATATGCTTTCTTGTCACCTATAGATATGAAAATGTAGTCACCGCAAAGAATTTTTTCTTTCTCATTCAACTATCACTTCAGTTGAATCATATAAACCAGTGGCACTATATACAGAATTTTAAAAAACAGGTTTCTAATGCACTTATATAGTCTTATATTACCATGCTGAGCACTATTCCCATAGAAACTCAGTGTACACAAAAGAGAATACTGATAAAGCTATGAGGTAAAACTTATGGTAACTGAAGAACATATTTATCAATGTATGTAAGACAGCACTTCCCCTAAAAAGGCAAAATAGCCGCATGAAAATCATTTTTCATTATAGTGCAAAAATATTACCTGCTACAAGCCATGTAATAAAGTTACTTTAAACATTTTGAAATAGAAGAAATACAACATGCTCGAACCTCGGGGGAAGTTGGTGTGACCAAGTCACATATTATAAAGGGTTTTAATTAGGCACAAAATCTGCTGGGGATAAAGTATTTAAGTTTCAGAAATGTGTAATACAATTAAGGGAACATTATAAATTAGAACTGCAGGTTAATTCTTTTGTGCCATAGCTATCCATTGTAAGGTTGTTAAAAAAAAGTTATGTACTTGAGTTCAAAGAAGATTGCCATCATGATGCCACACAATTTGCTGTCAATGGGTAAAAGTCACTCAGAACATTTAAGCATTCTAAATATGAAGAATATAAATTTATCACCTAATGAATACCAATATAAAAAGAATTGCATACATTTGGCTATTATTGATACAATTTTAATAGTTTAGAGCTTCTAAAATTGAAGAATTACAAAATCAAAGTATGATTAAAATATCTTAAGATTTTATTTTTTTAAAAAGATTTTATTTATTTGACAGAGAGAGAGAGATCACAAGTAGGCAGAGGCAGGCAGAGAGAGAGGCGGAAGCAGGCTCCCTGCTGAGCAGAAAGCGCAATGAGGGGCTTGATTCCAGGATCCTGAGTTCATGACCTGAGCTGAAAGCAGAGGCTTAACCCACTGAGCCACCCAGGCAGGCATCCCTAAGATATTATTTTTAAATAATCTTTACACCCAATGTGGAAATCCAAATCACAGCCTTGAGATTAAGAGCCACATGCTCTACCAACTAAGCCAGCAAGGGACCCCAAAACTCAAATCTTTCATCAAGAATAAAATATATCATAAAAATGAAAACAGTTTTATACCCATCTGGTACAAATCTAGCTGTTATGAAATAGAAGAAAAGCTTTGTAGTCAATCTCACAAAAAATAAGGATGTGACTCACTCTTTATTTAGCCTTCCATACATTTTGAAGGAAATCACCTTGACTTAAATGGCCATAACTTAATATATTTGTATAAACACTTTCACATGGTAATATTTTCAAAAGTAAACAAATCTCCCATATCTAGATTTATTAACACCTAGAATCCTGTATCAATCACATCTCTTTTTAGAGCCAGGGACCTTCAATTTCACATACTTGGACTATTCAATTAATCACTCCATACCTCCTCAGCTTCTCTCTTTCTTCTCTCTCCCTTTCTTCTCTTCGTTTCAGACGTTCCTGATTTCTTTTCTCCTGTTTTTCAGCTACAACTCTCTATAAAAGACAATAACAGGTCAAATAAAAAATGAGAAGCATTATTTATTGGGCCCATTAACAAGAATTATTCTAAACTCTACCATATCTGGTTCCCAATACAGTATAAAGAACATCAAAATCTATTTAATAACAACTTAATTAAAAGTTTTGCTGGGTAAAATCATTACATTTACAAGTCTAGTTTCCAAAATCTTTCCCCCTTCTGGGGAACGCTTGTAAAATTTCATATTTCTTCATGACTTAATATTCCAAAATCCTTTAAGATCTTCTCCTATGAATGCTTTCTAACATTATTTTATATTTTTTCAAGTTTATTTTTTTAGTAATCTCTATACCCAATGCAGGGCTCCAACTCACAACCCTAAGAACGAGAGGTACAAGATCTAACAATTGACCCAGGAAGGTGCACCTATTTTGTATTTTTTAAAGGACATTAAGCATTATAAATCACTATAAGTTTCTATTCTCTGATTTCCAAATTACCATCCTAATTTCATTGTCATTTCCAATTACCATCCTAATTCCACTGCTTCAAAAAATACCAGGAAGACGCTAAAAAGTCCTGTTGCTAGGTCTATATCTGCAAAGATTCCCAAATAGGTACCATTTTTGAGTTTTAATTCAGGGCCCAGTAACCATTTGATAAGGTGAAACTTACTTTGTCATTTTACTTACTTATTTAAGATTTTATTTATTTGACAGAGAGGAAACACAAGCACGGAGAGTGGGAGAGGGAAAAACAGGCTTCCCGCTGAGCAGGGCCTGATATAGGGTGATCCCAGGACTCTGGGATTATGACCTGAGCCGGAGGCAGAGCTTAACGACTGAGCCACCCAGGCACTCCTTACTTTGTCATTTTAAATAAAAACTTACCAAAATCATCCTAGCTACTCAGAATATTTAGAAGATCTCACTGTTGATATAAATACGGAGACGTCCCTACATGTTTCCCACTCATTATTTTAAATACCAAACTAGAGATCTTGGGTTAATTTCAGCAATAAAAGTCACTACCTAGTGTTTGCCATCGCTGAGCCATTCTTTCATTCACAACAAAATGCTACAGTGCCACAAATTTTTAAAAAAATTAGCCACATCAGACTGTTGGAAAGGAACTGATTATATCCATTTACTAATTCTGTTTACATCTTTAGAAATACCCTATGCTGTTTCCTTATCTTCTCAAAAGAATTCAGCACATGATACAGTAAGAACTGTATTGCCTTTCTTATAATAGCCATATATATGGCTTTTTTTTAAAGATAAATTTCATTCTAATTCCTTTCTGAGATGGGAGCAAGAGAAAGTAGAACTAGAAATCTACATACAAGCTTGCTATTTAGTGAAGAACTGCAAAATACTTTAAATAAATAATAGTCTCATTTTCTCAATCTTCCTTTAAAATAATATTATACTAATACTGTTAATTTTAATTCAAAGAAAATAAAAATTTGGAGGGAATTTATATGAAAGAATTTTTTTTTTAAAGATTTTATTTACTTATTTGAGAGAGAGAGAGCATGAGAGGAGAGAAGGTCAGAGGGAGTAGCAGACTCCCCATAGAGCTGGGAGCCCAATGCGGGACTTGATCCTGGGACTCCGGGATCATGACCTGAGCCCAAGGCAGTCACTTAACCAACTGAGCCACCCCGGCGTCCAGTTTTTATTATTATTCTTTTTTAAAGATTCTATTTATTTATTTGACAGAGGGAGAGACAGCTAGAGAGGGAACACAAGCAGGGGGAATGGGAGAGGGAGAAGCAGGGAGCCTGGCACAGGGCTCAATCCCAGTACCCCAGGATCATGAGCCGAGCCGAAGGCAGATGATTAATGACTTAGCCACCTAAGCACCCCAGAAAGAATTAGTTTTTAAGACTGAAGAACCCAGTTTTTAAGACTCCTAATTTAATGTCATACATATTCAACACAAAATACTGCCTCCCAGAATAAGGGGGACATTATTTAAAAGTCTGTTTCTCAAACATAACCCATTAAACCAGTTATTATCTCCATTTATAATCCTATACTATTCAGTATGAATTGTTAGCAGAAATCATAGTCAAGAACATTATACAAAAAGATAACCAATATACATCAAAACAATGGGTGGTTAAATTAGAGCACATGATATTAATTTACCAATGTACCTTTAATTCTTCAAGCTTCTCTCTTATTTCAATAAATCCCAGGTGCAGTTTACCCCCAAAATGATCAGCCAGTCGTCTATCATTATCATGAAGACCTAAATAGGCAGAGCAGACTTCACAGACTCGAAGTTTCTGCTGTTGGAAACTGGAAGCTGGCATAGAATTCCGATAAACTTCCTAAATAAAAGTGAGAAAAACAATGTTCATATAAATCTCTGAGCCATACCGCTACACAAAATACATTATGTTTGTATTAAAAAATGTTTTCTAATGAATAATTAAAGTACGGCTATTTTTGTCACAAAAATGATGGGACTCCTCATATTCTCATCCTCCATCCTTGGGACCTCTTCCACTAGAGGTAAAAGATCCAAGACACAACTGCATTTTGCCAAGAACTACTGTAAGAATTCTACCATGAATTCTGACTTCTACCACAGACTATGACTTCTGGAAAAAATTTTCTCAGTTCTACAATGCTTTGTTTTCTACAATTTTTGTTAAAAATGAGATGCAGCAACCCCGAAACTGTGTTATCAGTGAAGGGCCAAGGAAGAAGTCACCCACACTGGCAGAGAAAGAAAGAATGCATGTCTTTCATACTGTTAGTTTCCTTCTAGTGCCTTCTCTCCCACAGATCACTTTCTCCTCCTTTGAAAATATGGACAGAGCATATAAATGATAAAGACTTTCTTTCTACTGAGAGGAATAGTTCTGTAAGACAAGCAATGAAAGGTGCCTTAATGAGAGAAAGATGTCTTACACAAAACAATTTTAAGTTCATTAATGAAATAACAAGTATGGGTGGGTTTGTGTATTCACTGTACTCCTTTTGTTTGAGGCCAGCAGTATGTCCAGCTAAAAGATATTACATTCCCAAGCCTCCACAGACCTTTGGCTAAGAAGATATTCAAGTGGACATTGCTGGATGGAATCTATAGAAAATCCTTTCAAAGGGAGTCAAGAGACTGAAATAAAAAAAAAAAAATCACCAATGGCTGCTATCACCTATAGATCAGAAACTGATGGGAAACAATATTTACAGTTTCAAAAATGTCAATATCAAGATATTTACTAATTACAAAAAGAAAGCACTCTAACTTCATAGTAGAAAAATAGGCCAATCATCAGAAATGGGACAAATCACTAACATGTGCCTTCTAATGAGATATGACATTACTTAAATGGTACTGTCAAAAATCTAATCAAGGGGGCACCTGGGTGACTCAGTGGGTTGGGCCTCTGCCTGCGGCTCAGATCATGATCTCAGGGTCCTGGGATCGAGCCCCGAATCAGGCTCTCTACTTGGCAAGGGAGACTGCTTCCTCCTCTCTCTCTCCCTCCCTCTCTGCCTACCTGTGATCTCTGTCAAATGAATAAATAAAATCTTAAAAAAAAAAAAAAAAATCTAACCAAGAAGAAAAATTAGACAAACAGAAACTGAAGGAAATTTTATAAAATGAAGCCTGTACTTTTCAAAACTGTCAAGATCCTGTCAGACAAAGACTGAAGGTCCAGATTAAAGGACCCTAGGACAACATTAACAACTAAATGCATTACATGATCCTGAACTGGACCCTAAACAAATAACAAAAATTTTTTAATAAAAATGACATTATTGTGGCAATTGGGAAAATCTTCATAAAGCCTTCAGATTCATAATAGTACTGTATCACTGTGAATTTCTGATTCAGATCATTCTACTGTGGTTATATAATATCCTTGTCTTTAGAAAACATACATGGGAGTATCTGGGGATAAAGAAGCATCTTATCCATAACTTAATGTCAAACAGTTCAAATACATACACACACAAACACACACACAAGGAGAAAGACAAAGCAAATATGGTAAAACGTTAACACTTAAAGGCTGGGTGAAGGATACAGGAGAATTCTTTATTCTATTCCTTAAATTTTTCTGAAGATACTTCAAAAAAAAGTTTTTAAAAAAGAAAACCAGAGGTGTCTGGGTGGCTCAGTGGGTTAAGCATCTGCCTTTAGACTCTGGTCATGAACCCAGTGTCCTGGGATCAGCCACACTGGCTCCCTGCTCAATGGGGAATCTGCTTCTGGTTCTCCCACTACCTTTATCCCCCAACACCACCATCTCATGCTCTCTCCTGAGCTCACTCTCAAATAAAAACACACAAAAAAGGGAAAAGAAAAACAAATGTATGACTCTAGGAGGCAAGTCAACTCAATTTTAGTGCCTTGTTACTCTTCCTTTTTCTAGTTATGTATAGAGAAAATGCTTTAGGCATGGTAGCTCTACTGCCAACACAAACTGGTAAGTATAAAGATGAATCCATGTAAGTAAGGATGGCAGAAATAGTCTGTGTACTTGATGGAATTACAGAGCTGCTGTACCAGCCCCAGACTCCCTAATGACGATTACTTAATAAATGAAAAAAAGAAAACCCTCTTTTGGTTAAGCCATTTAAGTTTTTATCATGTGCATCTGAACATAATCTACAATAAGCAAGTAAATTCATTAGTGCACTGTCTTAAAAATCAACTGATAATAAAATATAACAGGCTAAAGATGTTAAGACACTGTGTGCTACCAGAAAATCTTCAAATACATATATATGAAACTTCATGAAAACTGCAAAATATGCAAGTAATAATGCTTACTAAGGTTCATTACTTGAGTCTTTTGGGGAAATGAGCTATAAAATACTCTGCATTTTAAAATTCATAGGGTTTAGGGGCACGGGGCTGGCTCAGTCAATTAGGTGTCTGCCTTTGGCTCAGGTCATGATCCCAGGACCAAGCTCCACGATGGGCTCCTTACTGAGTAGGGAGCCTACTACTCCTTCTCCCCCCTACTCATGCTTGCTCTCTCTCTCTAGTGCTCTAACAAAGTCTTAAAAAATTTTTTAAAATAATAAAATTAATAGTGTTTACGTTCTGGAATGATACTAATTACATTTAAAGAAATCCTAAGTATTAAAACTTAAATAAAATTAACAAGAATGGCTAAATGGTGTATCTTCTTCCATCCTATTACCTTTGATCTGTCTTTGTATTTAAAGTAGATTTCTTTTTTTAATTAGAGATCTCAAGTAGGCAGAAAGGCAGGCAGAGAGAGAGGGAGAAACTGAGCAGAAAGAGAAACTGAGCAGAGAACCCGATGCGGGGCTCGATCCCAGGACCCTGAGATTATGACCCGAGCCAAAGGCAGAGGTTTAACCCACTGAGCCACCCAGGCGCCCCCTAAAGAAGATTTCTTGTACCTGGCATATAGTAAAGTCTTCCTTTTATTTTTTTAAGACCTAAGCAGAAGGTGCTTAACAAAGTGAGTCACCCAGGTGCCCTAAGTCTTGCTTTAAAAAAAAAAAGAAAAAAAAAAAATCGAGTCTCACCATCTCTGCCTTTTAATTGGAATGTTTAGACCATTTATATTTAACATAATTACCAGTACACTGGGTTTAAGTCTACCACAATTAGAGATGGAGACTTTAATACTCCTCTCAGTAAATAGAACAGAAAATCTATCTGATATGGAGGACTTGATTAATCAATCAACTATCTTGCCTCAATTAACATTTATGAACACTCCACTTAATAAGGCAGAGTATCATTCTTTTCAAATGCAGATGGACCATTCCATCATTCCAAATCAATGTTTAAAAAAAAAAAAGAGTAGTCCATCTGGAGAATGGGTTTAAGACAGACATTTCACCAAGATCACATGCAGGGCACAAAACAAGTACTGATAGTATCTAAGAGACCTAAAATCACACAAATGTTCTCCCACTGCAATAGAAGTAAATTAAGATCAGAAAACTATTTGGAAAAAACACCAAATATATAAAAACACGCTCCTAAGTAACCCATAGATCAAAGAAGAAATCACAAAGAATATTAGAAAATATCTGAACTGAATGAAAATAAAAACAAAATATGGAATTCTGTGGGATCCAGCTACAATTGTGCCAGAAGAAAATCTGTAGCATCAAATGGGCTAAAATCAATTATCTAGACTTCCATTTTAAAAGAGGGCAGAAGAAGAACAAATTAAACAGAGGTGTGATATAGTTAAGAACAATGGAGACTATGGCAAAATGGGAGAATACAACCCCATCTGAAGGCATCCGATTTTTTAAGACACACAAGGTGGGCCAAACAAAATAGAATTCTGTCTGTAGGATATTAGCTTTTGACTTGTGCTACTACAGAGAAAGAATGAGAGAAGGCTCCCAAAGTACTAGCAGAACTGTACTGAGATGTGTAGTGAAGAGAGAATGCTATGGTTGCATGATTGTAAAGTCAAGGGAGGGAGGATATCATAGAAAATGCATAAATGCATTCTGTATGTGACTGCTATGTATGACTAGCTAGTCTAGTTAATTTCATTTTCTAGTTAAAAACTTCAACAGATCAAAGCCTCTAAAGTAAAAACCAAAAATCCCCCAACTTTGATACATAATCCATTACTATGGGATGGACTAATTAAATTTTATAATTAGTTTAAATTTCCTATACTAGCAATAAGTTTTCAATAATTTCCAATCAAGTATGTTTTGACAGTAAGACTGAACATATTACCATTAAAAATTGTATTACCTCCGCTTCTCTTTTCTTTGCCCGTGCTTTCTCAACTTCATCCATTACTTTCTGAGATTCTTCCACATTTCCTTCAGCTCCTAGTTGTTCCACCTTGGCCAACAACTTACCAATTTCTTCATTTAACTCGTGAACACGTTCTGCCTAGAAAGAAACAGAAAAGAAGATCATGAATAAAAAGCAGAATAAATTATCAGAGTTCAAAATATTTCATAAATGCTCAGGAAAGACTCAAGGCAATATGAGGATAAATAATGCTTTCTGAGCATATCATAAATGAACTGGTGGGATAGGAGGGTTTAAACCTACCTGCCCTCTCATTACAGGGAGGTCAGGAAATACAACTGACCTCAATTTAACTATTACTTTACAACCTCTGCATTGGCAACGTATTCCAAGCATAAAATACTGTTTCTTCCACTATACGCCCCATCTACCTTTGCAAAGCATCTCTTGTTGTTCCCCACTTCACAACACAATCTATAGTTATAGCTAGTTTCCCATATTTACTCTTGTTTTCTGCCTCAGTGACTTTGCAGAGGGATGTCATCCCTCTTCCTCAGACATTGTCCCTTACCTCCCTGTCTGAACTCATGAATGCCTATTCATTCAACAAGATTCAACTATTCTGTGAAACATTCTTGATCAGTCACATTTCACCCCAACTTAAACATAAGCAGAGACCCAAACCTTCCTTTGCGCCATCTTTTTATCTTTAATGACACTCTTATGTACATACTTGTGTGTGTGTATATATATAATATATATACTTATATATATATATCAGACGACCTTAAACACAATTATTTGTATTTCCAATCTTTGTATTTCCAGTGCCCAACAAACAGCATAGGCTCAAACAGGAGTTACAGGAATGAACTGGTAGATACTCTTTAAGATAAATATATGACTTTAAAGTCCAACAGGTCTGGCTTATTGCCAAACAATTACCAACTATGTAATTTTGACCACATTACTCAACCTGAATCCACTTCATCAGAGAAGTGGGAATAATGCCAATATCATAAAGTTGTGAGAAATGAGAAAATGTGCCTTGCACATACACTGCAGAGCACATTACTGATTTTCAGTATACTACCATAACATTCTGTCTTCCCTAGCCTTAGTTCATGTCTTTTCTCTGGGATTAATTCTTGCCTTGGAATCTGTGTCCTCCTCCTCCTCTTCATCACCATCATCCTAAGAACATAGTTCATTCCTATTGCTTTAATGGCATATGATACCTATACAGTCTGTATATCGGCCAAAAAGTAAGTATTCAGGCTGTGTAGCCAATTATATTATCAAAGAAGATTTTAATTTGATATGGACATCCAGTCCCAACAAACCAGTGTGCCAATAATCCTTACTTCTTAAATGTCCGTCATTCCAAACTCACCCTTAAAGAAATTTTCAATTCTATTATCATTGTAACTTTTTTTTTTTTATAATTTTATTTATTTGACAGACCAAGATCACAAGTAGGCAGAGAGTCAGGCAGAGAGAGAGAGAGAGAGAGAGAGAGAGGGAGGAGGAAGCAGGCTCCCCGCCGAGCAGAGAGCCCGATGCAGGGCTCGATCCCAGGACCCTGAGATCACGACCCGAGCCGAAGGCAGAGGCTTTAACCCACTGAGCCACCCAGGCGCCCTTCATTTTAACTCTTTAGCAAAATGCTAATTTGTTTTTTCAGGATCTGTCATGGAATGATTGTGTGTTATGCCCTAAACTCTTTACCTTTCCCTGTATCCATCACTTTGCTATATAATTAATACCATCATATTCTGATTCTGAATTTGGCCATGTAACTGGCTTTAGTTAATACGACAGTAGTGGGGCACCTGGGTGGCTCAGTGGTTAAAGCCTCTGCCTTCAGCTCAGGTCATGATCCCAGGGTCCTGGGATCGAGCCCCACATCGGGCTCTCTGCTCTGCAGGGAGCCTGCTTTCTCCTATCTCTCTCTGCCTGCCTCTCTGCCTACTTGTGATCTCTGTCAAATAAATAAATAAAATCTTTAAAAAAAAATGTAAAAACTATATTGAACAGCACAAAATATTTCAAAGTAGTTAAAAGTCATCAAATCAACAAAATGCAATAAATGGACTTTAGATTCTGATTAGAACAAACCAACTCTATATAGGAAAAATGAACACATTCAGGATATTAGATAATGTTAAAAAATTAACTTTATGGATGTGATTTATTATGGTTATGCTTTAGAGGTGAAACGATGTGACATCTGGAATTTGCTTTTAAAATAATGAAACAGGGACGCCTGGGTGGCTCAGTTGGTTAAGCATCTGCCTTGAGCCCAGATCATGATTCCAGGGTTCTGGGATTGAGCCCCATGTTGGGCTTCCTGCTCAGTGAGGAGTCTCTTTCTCCTTCTCCCTCAGCGTCTTCCCCTGCTCCATTTCTCTCTCTCACTCAAATAAGTAAAATTTTTAAATAAATAAATAGAACAATGAAACAAGAGCAAAAAACTATGAATCCATTGGGATTTATTGTACTTTTCTTTCCAGTTTTGTCTTTATAAACTTTATTTATTTAAGTAATCTCCACACCCAACATGGGGCTCAAACTCACAACCCAGAGATCAAGAGCTGCATGTTCTACCAACTGAGCCAATCAGGCACCCCTGTTTCCCCTTTTTGTGTTTAAGTTCACATAAAAAAACTTTTTTTTTTCCTTAAGTAGGCTCCACACCCAGCATGGAGCACAACACGGGGCTTGAACTCATGACCCTGAGATCAAGACCTGAGCTGAGCGATCAACACTTGGATGCTTAACCTACTCGGGCCACCACATGTTCCCATGATGAAATACTTTTTAAAAATGGAGGGTAAAACATACCCTCCCTAAAGAACACTAAAAAATCAACATTAAAAAAAAAATTACTCCATCTGGAGAATGGGTTTAAGACAGACATTTCACTAAAGAGGTACATAAATGCCAAATAAACACATCAAAAAAATGTTCAGCATCATTAGGCATTCAGGAAATGCAAACTAAAACCAAGAAATATCACTGCACACCTTTAAGAATGGCTAAAATGGGACGCCTGGGTGGCTCAGTTGGTTAAGCAGCTGCCTTCGGCTCAGGTCATGATCCCAGCGTCCTGGGATCGAGTCCCACATCGGGCTCCTTGCTCTGCAGGGAGCCTGCTTCTCCCTCTGCCTCTGCCTGCCATTCTGTCTGCCTGTGCTCGCTCTCTCTCTCTCTCTCATAAATAAATATAATCTTAAAACAAAGAGAGAAAAAGCAAAACAAAAAGAATGGCTAAAATGGGGACGCCTGGGTGGCTCAGTTGGTTGGACGACTGCCTTCGGCTCAGGTCATGATCCCGGAGTCCTGGGATCGAGTCCCGCATCGGGCTCCCAGCTCCATGGGGAGTCTGCTTCTCCCTCTGACCTTCTCCTCGCTCATGCTCTCTCTCACTGCCTCTCTCTCAAATAAATAAATAAAATATTAAAAAAAAAAGAAAAAAAAAAGAATGGCTAAAATGAAAATGAAAACCAAATGCTGGCACAGATGTGAAGAAACCAAATCACTAACACATTGCTGATAGAATTATAAACTGGGGGTGCCTGGGTAACTCAGTTGGTTAAGCAACTGCCTTCAGCTCAGGTCATGATCCTGGTGTCCTGGGATCGAGTCCCACATTGGGCTCCCTGCTCGGCAGGGAGTTTGCTTCTGCTGCTGACCTCTCTCCTCTCATGTGCTTTCTCTCTCTCATTCTCTCTCTCTCTCAAGTAAATAAATAAAATCTTTAAAAAAAAAAAAAGAATTATAAACTGGTACAGCCACTCTAGAAAAAAGTTTGACACCTGCTTTCAAAACTAAAAATGGACTTATAATATGACCACATGACCCAGAACTGCCTTCCTTTTTTTTTAATCCCGAAGAAATGAAATATTTATTGCAGTTTTACTGGTGTTAACCAGAAAGTGCAAATAACCTAAACATCTTTCAATGTGTGGTTAAACTATGGTATAGCCATACCATGAAATATTACTCAAAAAGGTATGAACTGATATACATAGCAACTTATATGAATCAAGGAACCTGTGCTGAGTGAAAACCATCTCAAAAGGTTACCTGATTCCATTTATGAAATATTCAGTAAAATAACATAATTATAGAGCCAGAAAATACATTAGTGGTTTCCAGAAGACAGGGGAAAGGGGAAATAGATGTGGCTCTAGAAAGGTAACATGAGGGACTCTCATCGTGATGTTATAGTGAAGTAACTTAACTATGGTGGTAACTACCCAAGTTACTTACAAGTGTGATAAAACTGCACCGAGCTATATATACACATACAGAAGTGCACACACAACTGGTAAAATCTGAGTAAAATGGGGCGCCTGGATGGCTCAGTGGGTTAAAGTCTCTGCTTTCGGCTCAGGTCATGATCCCAGGCTCCTGGGATCAAGCCCTATGCTGGGATCTCTGCTTGGCAGGGAGCCTGATTCCTCCTCTCTCTCTGCCTACCTCTCTGCCTACTTGTGATCTCTGTCAAATAAATAAATAAAATCTTAAAAAAAAAAAAAAACAAAAAACTGAGTAAAATGTCACAATTGGACCAGTATCCATTCCTTGTGTACTGTAGCCATATAAAATGTGAACATTAGGGGAGGCTAGAGGAAGAGCTCAGAGAATTCCCTACATATGTCTCTGCAATCTGTGGATGTAATTATTTCAAAATAAAAAGTTAGAATTAGGGGCGCCTGGGTGGTTCAGTGGGTTAAGCCTCTGCCTTCAGCTCAGATCATGATCTCAGGGTCCTGGGATCGAGCCCTGCACAGGGCTCTCTGCTTAGCAGAGAGCCTGCTTCCTCCTCTCTCTCTGCCTATCTCTCAGCCTACTTGTGATCTCTCTCTCCCTGTCAAATAAATAAATAAAAATCTCAAAAAAAAAAAAAAAAAAAAAGTTAGAATTAGTGAGCTGAAACAGTATTTTGTAGTACTAATGAAATAACCGAAATTCTTACCTTTGCTGCCACTTCAGCACTGATCTCTTCTTGAGTTTCTGCTAATCTTTTCTTAGCCACTTCTGTTCTTCTATCACAATCTGCAATGAATGACTGAAGATGATCCATAGCCTGCAAAATTTAATTAAAAGAAAATTACTGCCAGAAAAATCAACTTTATTGAGGAATATCTTTACTCAAATATTATACATAATTTTCTTATTTTTTAATAGGAGGCTCCAAACCCAGCATGGAGCCCAATGTAAGGCCTGAACTCACAACTCTGAGATCAAGAGTCAGACACTTAACCAACAGAGCCACCCAGGGACCCCATACTTTATTTTTTGAAGTGCTAATAGGGTAGTAAAAAAACAAAAGCAGGTTCAATTATGAATCAAAAATACAACTTCATCACCTATTAAATTAGCAGAGTAAACATAAACAGTTCCCAGAAAAGTGAAACTGTAAGGAAACTACCACTCTCATACTCTGCTAAAAAGTCAGTGCAGTGTTTAAAAAAGACAATGTGGGGTGCCTGGGTGTCTCAGTGGGTTAAGCCGCTGCCTTCGGCTCGGGTCATGATCTCAGGGTCCTGGGATCGAGTCCCACATCGGGCTCTCTGCTTGGCAGGGAGCCTGCTTCCCCCTTCTCTCTCTCTGCCTGCCTTTCTGCCTACTTGTGATCTCTGTCAAATAAATAAATAAAATCTTTAAAAAAAATAAAAATAAAAATAAATAAATAAATAAAAAAGACAATGTGGGGGCGCCTGGGTGGCTCAGTGGGTTAAAGCCTCTGCCTTCGGCTCAGGTCATGATCTCGGGATCCTGGGATCGAGCCCCACATCGGGCTCTCTGCTCGGCGGGGAGCCTGCTTCCTCCTCTCTCTCTCTGCCTGCCTCTCTGCCTACCTGCGATCTCTGTCAAATAAATAAAATCTTTAAGAAAAAATAAAATAAAATAAAAAATAAAAAAGACAATGTGGTAACTGGTATCAAAAGACTTAAAAATGTCTCCTGACTTAGTAATTTTGCTTCCAGAAATACCTTTTAAGAAAGTAATCAGATATACAGGAGGCTTAATATTCAAAGATGTTCCTCACAGTGTTATTTTTATGGTTAAAAGTTGTAAACACCCTAAATACCTAGGTAATGTAGAAATTTTGATCTTTAGCCAATAAAAAAAAGGTTTAATAGAATACTTAATGATACAAGAAAATGTTCATGATTTGTAAATAAAAAGCATTTTACACAGTATCATATGCCATAAAATCCCTGTAAAATAAAGCACAGAAAAAGGGGAACCTGGGTGGCTCAGTGGGTTAAAGCCTCTGCCTTCAGCTCAGGTCATGATCCCAGGGTCCTGGGATTGAGCCCCGCATCGGGCTCTCTGCTTAACAGGGAGCCTGCTTCCTCCATTCTCTCTCTCTGCCTGCCTCTCTGCCTACTTGTGATCTCTGTCTGCCAAATAATAAAATCTTAAAAAAAAAATAGTAATTTATTTAAAAGTAAACTTTTAAGGTTTATTCCTAAATCAAGCAATTTGGACTTTCATATCTTACTGTACAGAAAGAGAACTAATTTAAAATACAAATGTTTAATTAAAAATAAAATCTCAGCACATAGCAGATTCTAGGAATTTCTTGGAAGTAAAAAGCAACAGGTTCATTTAAAAGCTCTTATCTGTAATGATAAAGAAACAGGTATTTAGGGACAAATGGGTGGCTCAGTTGGTTAAGCGTCTGCCTGCCGCTCAGGTCATTATCCTTGAGTCCTGAGATGGAGCCCCATGTCAGGTTCCCCGCTCAGCGGGAAGTCTGCTTCTCCACAACCAGCACCCCCCGCCGCCCCTCCCCACCCACCCTGCTCATGTGTGTGCGGGCTCTCTCAAATAAATAAAAATCTTTTAAAAAAAAAGCTATTTAGCTCTTTTAATTTAAAATTCACCTTTAAATTCACAAGATAGGTCTATTTAAATTTACTTATGGGAAGATTAAAGGGGGATCTGAAAGCAGTTAGAGGAAAAAGATGTACTCATCAGTACTGTTAGGTCAACTAAGTAGCTATCTGGAAAAATAAAGCTAAATCTGTACCTTCAATTCCTTAGACCAGCATAAATTTAACTTCTTTCAAAGATCTAAGTGTATAAAATGAAGTCATAAAAAATACCAGGAGAAACCATGAGAGACTCTCAACACCTCAGAACACGAAGACCCTTTTGAATTAACCCATTAGAAATTTTTAAAGCACTGATATATGAGACAACTATTAAAACATTCTGCAAGGCCCACAACCACTAAAAGAAAAACAGTTAAATATGGAAAATGACCTAATTATCCATATCCCTATATCTAAGTGATGGTTTCTGCTTTATTTTATGCCCAGATTAAATCAAAATCTAGTTGATTTAAGATGTCTCCCCCAACTGTCCCAGTCCCATATTAAATTATGTTTACATAGATGATATTTTTTTTTGTTTTGTTTTGTTTGACAGAGAGAGAGACTGCACATGGGCAGGGAGAGAATGAGAGGTAGAATCTTAAGCAGGCTACACACCCAGCATGGAACCCAATGCAGGACTTGATCTCACAACCCTGAGATCATGATCTGAGCCGAAACCAAGTAGGACACTTAACTGACTAAGCCACCCAGGCACTCCTAATTTTCATTTCTATTAGCAGAAATTCTTAGGAGAGAAGTAGATGGAGGTGCCTCTTGACTGCTTTACCTTCCAAACCAAGTAATATACCTATTACACCTTACTGTAAAAAGTATCATAAGATGTGTGCTCATTAGTATCTTTCATGTAATACTAATTGGTAAGTTTTATATAAATATAAAAAAAAGTTTTCTTATTTTTATAATGAATGATTCGGTTTGTATAAATAAATCAGATCTTGGGCCTTTAAGGTATGTAAATGATACCTTTTAATATTTCTCCTATCAGTTTTACATAAAAAACACTGTACTCAATATCCTCTCTCCCTCTATACATATTCATAGATACAAACAAATATGAATGTAAAAGTTCTGTAGATTATTAAAGGGCCTAAAATACATTAGAAATTTGTTATTTACATGTGCTTAAATTGAGGTTTCCTTAATCATCACAACTTACTGGAACAGTTTTTCAAAAGATTATATGTACTGCAAGGATTTTTACACATTTTCTTAAACTACCCAGTTTCACCTTATATTTTTAAAAAAATATTGTTAGTCAAGGGGCGCCTGGGTGGCTCAGTGGGTTAAAGCCTCTGCCTTCAGCTCAGGTCATGATCCCAGGGTCCTGGGATCGAGCCTCGCATCGGGCTCTCTGTTCAGCAAGGAGCCTGCTTCCCCTCCTTCTCTCTCTGCCTGCTTGTGATCTTTGTCTGTCCAATAAATAAATAAATAAATAGATAGATAGATAAAATCTTAAAAAAATATATTGTTAGTCAAGAAAATTCACGATCTTATTTTAGTACTGACCTTCAAATAAACACAAAGAAGATAACTTGCTAAGAGCCTTTTCCTATAGAGATATTAATCCATACTCAAAACATTTACTACAAAAAAATAATCTAACCCATTAAAGAAAAATTACATACATCAAGTTCAAAGAAAAAATCTTGTTCTTTGGACGCAATTTCATAATCTGCTCTTAAAGCCAGGTCATGAACTTTCAGACATTCTCCAAGATCCATTCTCTGGGGGGGTGGAAAAAAGACATATTATTGAAACAGTAAACACATTTTTCAAAACTTCATTAACCACCACAGTTCTCTTCAAAATACATATTAAGTCTTACAGATGCTTCTTTACTTATGGACTTTCAAATTACAAAATTTCATAGACAAGCATAAAAGCTGATGTCAGAAAAAAATCCACATCAATTCTATCAACAGATGTCAACAGTGATTACTTTCGTACTTAAGAACAGACAGACAAGAAAAACTGTAAAAATCTGAAAAAGCTTCCGGCTTCTTTATCAAATCAAATTTCACTTAACCTATTAACACAGAAAAGATAACGTTAGTTTAAAATTAAAAGAATATGTAAATCAAATTTCTGAATTATATCAATATTCTTTGAACATTCTGATTTTCTTAGACCACTAAACTTGATAAGGATTCCAGATAAGACTCTAGGTGAACTAGTAAAAAGAAATTTATTAACACCCAATATAACTTCACAAAAAACTAAAATCCTCTTTACAAGCATGTATCAGGGGTATAAAATATACTCCCATTGAACCTAGCATCCTCCTACTTAGAATTCCAATTAGACATTATTTACCAAATTAGGTTTTCTCCTGAGATCAAAGTTCCTAGAAATCCATCCATTTTTACATTATCTGGGCAACTGATAAGATATTTCAGGAAATCCTTTAAGAGGAAAATTGAGGGGAAAAAATTGGGCTGGATGCAAAGATATTTACAGATGTGATTAATGGAGATCCAAGTAAAACAGATTTTCCAACTGCAAGTATGCTATCCTATCAAATAGAATGTCTCAGAATTGCTCAAAGGTTGGTAAAAAGAGAATACAATAATTTGAAAAGGTATAGTAAATATGGCCTTTGGTTTTGTTATACAAAGTATGCATAAAGTACAACAAACATTATAGTAGTAAAGTCATTCCTTCAGTTAACTGTGTACCCATTTGTGCCATGTGGTAGGGACACAGAGCTAACTGACACAGATACATACAGTCTCTGACCTCATGGAGCTGACATTTAGAAGAGGGGAAATAAGTAATTAACCATAATTGTGTCTCTGAATACAGTTAAGAGGTTTAATAAAACAGTAACCCTCCCATTATGATGGGAGGCTGCTTGGAGATCAGAGGAGGTCTTTCTGAAGAGGATACATTTAAACTGGATTTAAAATGTGTGAGGAAGCAAACTAACCTTAGGAAAAGCTAAAAGAATCCTTGAGGTTTTATAGAAGATTTACTCTTAAAAAAAAAAAAAAAAAAAGCCAGTGTTAAGCAGAGGGATGTTTCTAGCAGCAAAAAACAGAATAGGACAATCACTGGCATATAGGTCTGTGCCTTAAGCTTTGTTATGTAAGTACCTAGAAATGACTCTGTCTTAACTTTTTGGCCAACAACCTAGATACAACAAAGGATATGAAAGTCTATTTTGTACAATATCCCAAGCCAAAAAAAAAAAAAAAAGTGAATTCACTGGACTAAGATTCAAAAGAATTGGGGCACCTGGTTAGTTTTTAGAGCATGTGACTCTTGATTTCGGGGTTATGAGTTTGAGACCCAAGTTATATGTAGAGATTACTTAAAAATAAATAAACTTCAATGGGGCACCTGGGTGGCTCAGTGGGTTAAAGACTCTGCCTTCAGCTCCGGTCATGATCCCAGGGTCCTGGAATCGAGCCCTACATCGGGCTCTCTGCTCCACAGGGAGCCTGCTTCCTCCTCTCTCTGCCTGCCTCTCTGCCTACTTGTGATCTCTGTCAAATAATTAAATAAAAATCTTTAAAAAAAAATAAATAAGTTAAAAAATAAAAATAAATAAACTTCAAAAAAATTTAAGATTCGAAAGAATTGATAGATCAGGTAAAATTTCTCAAAAATATGAAGTCTTATATCTAAGAAGACAAATTTACAAATAGCTATGAGCAGAAAATTAAGACAAATTTGAAAACACTAGTCAAGAATAAGAGTTATAATGTGGCAAGATTGAGATAAATTAACTTACAGGACATAGTATGAACAAAGTAAGAATCTCTTGCTGAAGGCTGGCAAACACCTCTCTTCCAAAAGATACATTCTGTGTGCTACACATTTCAAAGGGATATAAATAAGTTAGACCAAGTGTTTCAAAACCAAGCTATACAAAAAAAGCCGGAGGACAGATGCAATTAGCCAAGAAAAGTCAAAATGTGAACCTAGACCCCAATCAACTAAAGAACTTTTCAACATGAAGCAGAAATAGATCTTAATATTGCTCCAAGGGACTTCAGAGTCAGATTTTAACTTTCTCTCAAATTAAAAACATAAACAAAAAAACCCCCACCAACTTTCTAATGATCAAAGCTTTCCAAAGACAGAATACACTTCCTGAAGAGTTAGTGAATTCCCAGATAACTGGAAGATCCCAGTACAGTTTAGACAACCATTTTTCTAAGACACTGAGCAAAGAACTGAACTGCTAAAGTAGCTTCCTCTTTCCAACTCTGACATTTTATGATTATCTTAAAAAAAAAAAAAAAAAAAAGCTTTTTCGTTAAACTCTATTACCTGGGTTACTAATTACATAAAAGAATGAATGCAGGAATATAGACAATGTCTTCAAAGTTATCCTTTGGGAATAGTAAGGAATATTCACCAGTATTATAAGTTATCATCCCACTAATGGCTCTCATGTATCACTGCTGCTGAGTATGCTGAGATTCTTCCAGGCCCCACTCCTTCCTCTCATAAATCTATGGATTAATTAAGTCTTCCAGTGATATTAAGCAGCAACTGAAACTTGCTATTGATGTGTGAAAATTCAAAACTGCTTATTGAGCAACATTTTTAAGAAGTTAAAGTGTAATGCTCCTAAAATATGCAGGAAAATAAGACAGCAATGAAAGAGTTGCAAAATACATTGTTACCATCTTTGCTACACCAGACTCGTGTGTGTGTGTGTGTGTGTGTGTGTGTGTGTGTGTGTGTAAGTAGGCTCCATGCCAAGTGGGGTTTAAACTCATGACCTCATGACCAAGAGTTGCACGCTCTACCAACAGAAGCCAACCAGCTGCCCCAGCAAGTGTCTCTCTTAATTGGTATCTTAATACTCTCTCCAACAACTCCCTCTACACATGTATTTCTCTAAGAGTTGGTAATGGGAAGCTACACTCATTTCCTAAAATGTTATGATGCCAGTTGGGAATGCCACTGATCCAATACAGTGGTTTTTAACCTAGACCAGGGGTAATAATACTGATGCAAGTTTTTGAAAATAGGTCCAAGCCTACCCTCCAAAGAGAGAGCTGTAAAAGCCTCCCAGGTGTTTTTAATGTACAGTGTTAGGAACCACTCACTGATCTAGTTTTATTCCTAATCTACAGACAAAGGAACCGAAGCCCAGAAAGACACTTATTCCAGATACTTACTGGGACATCTGGTTACAATGATTTCTAGGTCTAACACCCCTTCTGTTTTACCATGCTATACTAGTGTTCTGCACATAGCAGATACCCAAAAAAGTTGTCTAACTGCCTTTCCTCCAGTTAAGTCCCTTATCTTTATCCCCTGCTTAACTAGATTTCCAATCTGTTCTCAAAAAAAAACCTAAAAGGAGGGCACCTGGGTGGCTCAGTGGGTTAAAGCCTCTGCCTTGGGCTCAGGTCATGATCTAAAAAAAAGGGGGACCGAACCCTGCATCACGCTCTCTGCTCAGCGGGGAGCCTGCTTCCTCCTCTCCTTCTGCCTGCCTCTCTGCCTACTTGTGATCTCTGTCAAAGAAAGAAAGAAAATCTTTAAAAAAATAAAAATAAATTAAAAAAAAAAGAAACCTAAAAGGAGGGGCACATCTGAGTGGCTCAGTCATTAAGTGTCTGCCTTCAGCTCAGGTCATGATCCCAGGGTCCTCTAAGATCAAGCCCAATCATTGGGCTCCCTGCTCAGCGGGAAGCCTGCTCCTCCCTCTGCCACTCCCCCTGCTTGTGTTTCCTCTCTTCCTGTGTCTCTGTCAAATAAATAAATAAAATCTTAAAACAACAACAGCAACAAAAAAACTCTAAAAGGAATGCATAAATCTTGTCTGTTTAACCTAAACATCACTGTTGCCCACCCATACTGGCAGGAATTCTAGGCTTTTCCTCTGCTTTACCATTAAACTTCCATAATACAACCAACCAAAGGGAAAAACCCAACTCTTTGGGTCAAGAACAAAATGAACACCAAAAAGGACACAACTCAAAATTATACCACTGGTGTGAAGGGTGGAGTTTTGGTAAGAGGATGAAATTTAGAGGGGGAGGGTGGATGTATGCCTTGGAGGGCAATTTGCACAAGGGGGAAATTTTTACCACCTCACCAGAATGTGAGCTCCACAAAGACCAGTGTTTTTTTTGTTTTATCTGTAAGTAGTTTGCCTGGTATACAAGATGTTTAAGAAATATTTGTTGAAAGACTCAAACTGGTAAAAGGACAAACGACATGTGGCATAGTGGGCCCTGAGGTTAACAAGCAAGTGTGGTCAAGATCCAACCAAGTACAAAACTGATCTGAGTTCTGGAGGGGAAGGTCTTCTTCACTTCTCCATGGATTATCAATCTTGTTGGGACTTCTTTCCTTCCTAAGTATTTTATGCTACCCTCCTCCAGAAGGTAGACCACTTGGACTTGACACTATCCTGGGCCATGAGCTCTGCAGCATTCCAGTCTAGACGAGCTTACAAAAGTAGATTTGCAAGGCACCAAAATCCTAGGAGGAAGGGCCTAGCTATAATTTTTTTTTTCTTTTGGCCTGGAATAGCCTCAGTGCTTATTCTTTGGGGATCTAGCAGGACAGTAGGTATATACAAATTTTCAGAATTCTAGATACTGGTCATCTACTTTCCTCTCTATCCATACCATCGCAACTAAACACATACTCTGGCACTGTCATACACACAGGGAATATTTAAAATAAAGAACAATGGGGTGCCTGAGTGGCTCAATGGGTTAAAGCCTCTGCCTTCGGCTTAGGTCATGGTGCCAGGGTCCTGGGATTGAGCCCCGCATCGGGCTCTCTGCTGGGCAGGGAGCCTGCTTCCTCCTCTCGCTCTGCCTGCTTCTCTGCCTACTTGTGATCTCTGTCTGTCAAATAAATAAATGGAATCTTAAAAAAAAATAAAATAAAAAAATAAATCTGTAAAAATAATAAAATAATAAAATAAAATAAAGAACAAGCAAGTCAAAGTAAACACAACTACCTGCCAATGTAAAAGTGAGGGAAGGGTAAGTGTGTCCGTGTTAAGGCTCTTCAAGACTGCGGTCATCTAATTAAAAAGCCACCACAAAGGAAACCATGATAGAACCACACTACGACCAATTATGGACCAATCCTCAAAAGCCTCATCAATCCTGACTTTATCACTGACGATTCAATAGTGCTTTGAACACTCAGTGCACAGATACTTGCTGCTGCTTCTCTTGTAAAATAAATGAGCTTCAAACAGAACATAATACAATGTTTGGCTATTTAACTTATAATGGCTCTATTTGTAATGAAAGCCACAGGGAGAGTTTTTGAATTTTTAAATGTAGTAAGTAATTTATTTCATAATTACATTTTTCCCACAAGTTTATTTATGGCATTTTAATTAGAAGACATCTAAATTCTTAGATTGTAAATGGGAAAAACGTTTATTTTTAATTGGAAAAATTCAGTTCTGCATTTTTGTCTCCTCCATCCTAAATATATTTCCCTTGTGAAGTCGTCTAATTCTGAAAACTTCTCTTACAACCTCTTAGCATTTTGTATTACATTTCACTGTTTAACAAAGTTGATTCTGTTAAGTGCTTTTCTAAGTGTTCTTTTGAAATTTCAAAAATGAACATTATCTCCTCAAACTGGACTTTAGGCTTCATGAGGAATATAGTTTCTCTTATTTTTTCCCTCCTACATAAAAGACCAGGTTTTATACAACCCATCACTACTAAATAAATGTGATGATTTAACTAAGGAATTCTACTTCTAAGAACTTGAAGAAACAATGAAGTAAGTACAAAAGGTAAATGGACAAAACTTTAACAATGATGTTTTAGAGTGTAGGGTTTTAACTGAATTATGGTATAGTCATACAATGCATTACTTAGCCATTAGAAATTATCATCTTGATACTAAATGGAGAAAATAGATAGCAAAGAAAAACATAATAAAATGCCATTTTTTTCATGTACAGATTTTCAGATTCATGCGCAGACACTGCTGTGAAGCTGGTCTGATACTGGTCGTATTATTCTTATACTCAGAAAAAAAAATCAATAAAGCCACTTGATTTTGGAGGAAAAAAATTAAGTAACAGAACAGAGGCATGCAGAAATTATACACCAAAATCAACAAATAAATATGGTATTGGAGTACAGCAAATCAAAAGGTTGACCTACACATCTGAGTGTACTGCCAGTTATAAACTAATGGCAGTAATATGTTAATGAATAAAGCAGTGATAGAAACTGGGCATTATAACTACTTCAAAAACTGCAAATATTCTTGCTTTGTTATATTTACTCAGATCAATGAGCTAGATCCTAAAGTGAATTATAAAGCAGGGTAAGAAGATAATCCCTGCTATCAAGGAGTTTATATTCTCAATGAAAAAAATGGAGACCTTAAACTAACAGTTGCAAATACATAACACAGATGCACATGCAAAGATTTTATTGCCAGACTGTGCACCAAAACCAAAAACTATTAACACAATAATAGTCACTGAATAATTTAGGAAATAGCCATATTACAAAATATTATGTAGGCACATTTTAAAAATACAGACCACGGATTTGGAAACTTCTCCAAGACAAGTGAAAAAAAAAATCAAACATAATACCATTTGTTAAAATTTGCACATGTGCACACACACACACACACACACACACACAGAGAAAGGAGAGTAAAAAAGGTACATTAGATTGTTGACAGACTTTATGTCTGGGATGGGGGATGATATATAATGGAAAATATTCATGTTTTATGCTTTTTCCACTTTTACTTGAAAACTTTATAGTCGAAGTAATAAAGTAAGGACAGACTGAGTACTCAGCAACTCAGAAGACCTCCCTTAACATCTATATATTATCCA